GGGGGCACCCCGCATTCTTACTGGGCGTTTTTTCTCCCTGCGTGCTGAACATTCTAACCGTACATGATTTTTTTTGGGGAACTCGCCGACCCATTCTAACTTTCAGTCCGTCACTATAGTCTCCTTTTCCTTTCGTTGCTCACTTGAAGTATTTTTTGATCCCCTGATATCCCTGGCTTTTGTTCTTTTCGGCCCCCGTCGAATAAGTTTGTATTGATGCTGTGTTCTTTTGTTTACATACTTTTTTGGCAGCCTGCACGCAGCTGATGGTGTTAGTTGATGAAAAGCAATCCGGGAAGGCACTTCCCACCCCCACTCTTGGTGACGCAGGTCCTGTGTAGGAACAGACAGGATCAGACAGGCCTAAAATTGCATGTGCAACGTATATAACTGGTTTTGGCAAATTTTAGATTAGTTTTCGCAAAGGTGATTTCAGATGATTTTCCCTACGTTTATGCATCAGGAACTTGCGTGCGATTGGTTGCGCTGTGTAGCAACCAACTAGGTGTTTGATTGGCAGATTAGCCGCCCCCAAAAAAATCAAATTGAGCATGACATGACATCCAATGCTCCAAACATGTTGTCGATATGGTAATCCAGGTGCAATTGAAATATAGGAACTCTGTGTGTGTTTTTGGTGGGTTTCCTTGGAGTAGAGGTGAAAAAGAATAGGGCCACAGGCAGTCCTCAATATTATCCATCTATCAATCCATTTATCTATCGACAGTCTATCGATCTATCTATTTGTCTATCCATCTATCTATATCTATCTAGTTGTTTGTCTCTCAGTCTGTTTGTCTGTCTGTGTTTGTTGTGTGTACACGGTATTTTTTTAGAGAATACACATAGCGGTAGAAACATGTTTCCTGCCTGGGAATCCGAAATGCACTGGAGGATCTCACGACGACGACACGTCCATCCTGGAGCTTTTCCAGGCGCAGGACAGCCAGCATGTGGCCACGCCTGCAGGGGTCGCCTCCGACGGCGTGCAGGTCTATTGGGCCAACCAAGATCATGGTTTGCAGCATGGCTCAGTGACATGGCACTACTGAAGTACCCGATGTGTGCAACCCAGTTTTGGAAAGATTGGTGTGGGTGAGCCATGGTGAACCTAAACCCAGGGCAACACCGAATTTCCCTATCGTGTTGGTCATTTCCTACAGGCTTCCTTCAGCTGGTGACAGTTTCCAAACCTAGGAAGCGTTGTGGCATGGTGTGGGACAAGGGAGTGCCTTGATGCAGAGGGAACAACAACTAATTCACCTTTTCGTTTCTCCCCCGGCGACTGTGAGGTTGCCACGGGCTTTGTGAGTGGTTCCCTTCCCAGTAGCAAGTTGGCCACCGAGAGCGCTAGCACCTTTGGGATCGCAGCGACCAGCAACATGGTGCTCTTCAGCCACTTGAATGCACCGGAGTGGAGAACGCATGCTTGGCGGATGTTGGCGGTGTTCCACTTAGGACATTTTTTGCAGGTGAATGTTTAGATGATTTAGACATGACATATATAATTTTATATAGTTATAGTTCCAGTAATGTGTAATCGCTTTAAATTTGGTGGGAAACGTGCTTTTGCTGACTATTGATCATACTTCATGGGAGGTAGCGCTACTTTTTTGCGGGATGTTGCCAAGAACTACCCATCTAAGGCAACGGCGCTGGCGTGTATGGTGTTCCAAAGTTTGGTGGCGGCAACGCCACGGCCATGAACGAGGGTTTCGTCATCGCCCGCGGTTTGGCCTGGGATGGTTCGGGCACAGTCTTCGTGGCGGATGAGGGTGCCAGCACCGTGTATGCCATGCCTTGCGGCTGGGCAGAAATGGCCAGAAAGTGAAGTCCAAGGTGATGTTGTTTGGACTTGTGCATCACCTTGTGAGGAATAAGGATGCGTAAGGTTTTGTTTTTTGCAGTTGCGTCGAGTTTTTGTTGTACTGCTGCCTTGTTGGAAGCAAATCCCAGGTGGAGTCTTGGTCGCGCAGCCCTTGCAGCCCGTCTTGCAGATGCACGGAGCCTTTGGCTTGGCGTTGGTGCAGCCGACCGACCCATTGGTCTCTGCGAGGTCGGCCGCGGCCGACCCGACGTTCCCCCTGTGGGTGGCCATCTCTGCGGTTTGGGCAGCGGTTTGGATGTCCTGAACGCCATCGAAGCCTTAGAGCCGATGCCATCGAAGCCTTACAGCCTCAGGATGCCATCGAAGCCTCCCTCGCCTGCGGAACAAAAAGAAGACGTGAGACGCAAGGGAGAGCGGAAAAGTGCATGATGATCCAGCGGACATCGATGGACATCGTATACGTTCGCCTTTTTCGGGCGAAGAAAGAGAAATAGGGCGACCTTTTTGGGTGACGTCCCCCAAAACCAGTTGCTTTGGGGACTGCTTTGGGGGGGGGGGGGGGGGGGGCTCGGTCACCCCGATCGATCCGCAGGACCCTTTGAGCTCGAAGCGCCGGACGAAGCGCCGGACGAAGCGCTGAAGGGCGCCATGGCTGCGACCGAGGCCGCGGCACCCCTGCTGGCCGGGGGCGATGATCCCAAGCGCATCACCGTGGCCATGGGTGCGGGAGGCACCTCGGCACGCATGCAGTGAAAGAGCGTTTTCAGAGTGGCACGACACATGAGCATAGATAGTCCGGGGCCGGGCCGGGGTCAACTCACTAGACCCGGCTATCCGGGTCAGCTCTTGGCTGGTGAAAGCCTCGAGGTGAACGCGTTTTGAAGCTGGGCGGCCAAGAGGTGGTGCTCCTAGGCGGCAACTATGTGTTCAAGACCCAGCCCTACTTCCCACCCAAAGAGATCGTCTCCGCCAATGCCTTAGAAATGGCCGAGACTTGGTCGAATCTGTCAAGGGAACCGGGAATGTGAGTGTAGAGGAGAATTCCTTGCACGAAAGATGGCAGATGGATTTCTCGTTTTTGCCACCAAGGAAGGTGCTAAATCCATGACCTACAAGCCGCCTCCTGCAAAGGATGGCACGCAGCGAGTGGTGAAGCCCTGCGTCCGCTTGGGATGTATGTGGGAAGGAGCCGTATGGACCCCGTTGATTTTAGGCAGGAAAAGATAGGTACAACGAATCCGAATTAAGTTACATTTCTGAGTTCTAACCCACCTGCGGAACCTCAACAAAATCCAAGGTTTTGGCACGTAAACAACAAGTATGGCGTCCGACAAACAGGACTCAAGTACGGGTTCGGCCACATTCAGGACCAAAGCATGGGAATAGCGTACCCGGGAGGTGTCAAACTCACAAACCTCCCCTGATTGATACCCCAGTTGATTCGATCCGACATCCGGGTTTGAAACGCAGCGCAGGGAAATGGAATGACGGTGCTGTGCTACCTGCCCCATCTGCCCCACGTTTTGCCAGGATCCATGCCGGACAAAGCTGGCCCGATCGATCCGACCTGGGCCGCGAACTTGGAAGCGACCATCCAAGCTTTCGCGGAACAAGGGGTCTACGTCTTCTTGGAGGCAAACGCGTACCACATATACAAGACGTACATACTGTTTTCCATAATGCTTTTATACTATTAAATATTGAGTTTTATTGATCATTCTGAATCATTCTTTTAGGCTTGAGGTGATTTGGTGATGCAATCAATGGTGGCGATGGTCAGCTGGGATGTGTGATGTGGTGACCATAGTGATTAGGTCTCTTGTGGATGGTTCAAGCTCATTATTTTGATGATTTTTGACCTGTGTGTGAAGTGATTCTGATGTGAAGTGTACAACAGTATGGTTAAGAGCCGTGTTGGGTGTGTGATGTGATGCAGTGCTGCAAGCTGTATGGTGAGTCGTGTGGTGATGTCAAGTGCTCGGGTCTGTGCGCAGGTGCATGATGATGCCTTCTCGACGACCAACGGCGGCTGCGGCCTGCCATGGTGGACAGGGGCTTACATGCAGGAACACGTGGATAGCACGAGCACCAGCGGGCACTGCTGCTGCTGCACGACACCTTCCTACATCACCAACCCTGACAATCCCTTGGCCCTTGTGTGCGAGTGCCCCTCATGGCTTGCTTGCTGCTGTTGCGGCATCCAACCCGTGCGCACCACCGGGGACAATCCGTGGGCAGCTTATGCGGTGGGCACCAACATGGGCAACCCAGCCTCCATGAATGTGGGCAATCTGAGCATGAGGTTGAACAATAACGATCTGGCCTGGGGACTTGGAACTTTGATTTGGGTCTCGCAGGTGCACAACTACGCCCCACGCTTCTACCAATCCCACAAGAAGGAGGGCGATCGACAGAACTTGTTTGAACCCTTTGTGCAACACATCAAATTCCTGTGCAGCAAGTGGGAGCAACACTGGAACTGTGTGGCTGTGGAGGTCTTAAACGAGCCGGTACTCGCTGGATTGCCCCACCCTTATCGCTTCATGAGCTGCCGCCGAGACCTCTTCGACTTCTACGGCGCTCTGCTGGAGGAGTTGGATGCCGCAGGCTCCCGCGCGCCCCTGGCGCTGGAAGACGGCTTCGGGACCCTGGGCAGCGGCTCGAACTACATGAAGTTCCTCTCCCTGGTGCCCATCTCCGATGTCGCCAAGAAGAAGCTCCAGCAGTGGGGCGAGAAGAACCAGCTGATCGTGAGCATTCACTACTACCCGAGTGATGGGAAGCTGTCCCATCTCAGCAAGGTGACTGGTCAGAACATGTCAACACCTTAAGGTGTACTCACGCATGTTACATAATTATGTGAGATGAACATCCATTGCTATTTGTGTTGCTCTCTGGTTCTTTTGACCCCAGGTGACCCCCACTGAATATGTGACCATGGCGAAGAAGCAGTCGGCAGAGCTCATGGCCTCCTCGCCCATTTGGCTCTCGGAGTTCTGCTATTTGCTGCCCCAGGAGACCGCGGACAACTTGGCGGTGTGGGCCAACGCAGGCTGCTGCGCCAGCACCTACTTCCAGTATACGGACGTCGAATACACCGAGAACTTTGGATGGTTCAAATACCCCCCCGAGGCCAGGCAGCCGCCCTGCTGTGCATCTTGATGCATCATGGTGCAGCGCAGAAAACCTGCTGTCAGGTGAAGCAGTATGGGGAGCCGGTCAACAGTTTGGGGATCGTGAACGAGAAGGCGCGACCGCTTATTTTTCACCACCCATATCCACCCACAAGATAAGCATCCAGGTTGCAGGCTATGGCCCTCGCATTTCGTCGCTCTTGGGCTGTCAGAGGTTTGGACTCGGCTCTCGATAAATCCCGCAATGAGCTCCTGCTAGGCCTGGGCGGCGTATGAGCCCACCGTGGCAGATGGAACTTACTGGGGCGGGCAAGTGTGTGGCTCCAAAGGAGGCCGGGCTTAGTAGAACCAACAGAGCCACTTCATTGCTCAGTATTCTTCAGACACCCGGGTGATCCCTGATGAGGTCAGAGCAACGTTCTCTCCAAAGTGAAGTGAGGCAGCCACCGTGTGCTGTATGGTCAAGGCTTTGTAGAGGCCGACCGGTTGTACAAAGATGCTCTATACGACCGCCCTGTAAAGCTGAATGAGAGGCGACATAGCCCCTTCATGCCCGATATTTGTTGTTTGAAAACGTGCACTACTTGTGCTTATACTAAGTGTTGCTAGAATTTTGTTTCAATATCCACCAGGGAAGGCGTGTGGAAGGGGAAGTTGCTGCTCGCTGACAGCGAGGGCGGTGGTGAAATCCTGAGTCTCATCATGAAGCAGATTAAGCAGATTGCTTGGGTCGAACATGTGGGCTTGATCAGCTTAATTGTGCAGTTGTTCAATTGAAGCTCAATCGAAGCGGGCAACGCCTTGAAACAATCTCCTCAACATCAAAAACAATGAAGAACATCCAGACATGGCTGGGTGGATCATTACTTTGCATGTAGTCTTTTACTTAAAGCCACCTTCTGAGACTGAGGGGAACCCACCGAAAGCACCTGCCCCGGCCCCACCAAATGCCGGCCGTTTCTGGTCTCCCACCCAACACCGGTACGCCCCAGCCTCGCCTCGCCGAGGTGAACGGCAATGCCGGGCCATTAGCTTTTCGTTGTCCTCGACCCTGAAGCGCCTTCCGACGGCCGCCCTGGTGAACCGAAGGCGCTGCCGTCGGCCCCAACACGACGACGACCAGCCACTCCGCGTGTCCACGCAGAGCGTGGTACGTGACATGGGAGTAGTGGTCAGGAGGTACCGCTCCGAAGGTGCCATTACACGAACAAAAAGCAACGATGACAAACTCGCGCAGAGTTGCACCGTCATTTGAACCTTTGTATATATAGCTATCATGTAGCTATTGAGTCTATTGAGGCTATTATTGAGTTGATTTCTCATCATTTCACACTCAGAGACATGGGAGAAAGCTCTCCGAGAGTGGACATATTTTGGAATGAAAAGTGGATGGAGCATGATGGAGCATGTTTGCAAGGCTTGTCCTTGACCCGGAATGCTTTGAGCCAGTATGCGGATGTATGTGTATATACTAGATTATATTAGCGATTTTGTAGAGTCCTGAGTGACTACGCCTTCAAGTGCATGAGTGAGGGAATAGAAAGTGAATCATGTGTTGATCCAAAAGTAATGGTTTGTTAATGCACTCTCCGACTAACTAACATGGAAGTGGAAAGTGCCCAATTCGTAAAGGAAAATACCCATCCAAAGCAATCCATGTGTCGTTTGTTCTCCCAGACTACTATGCTGTGCGCTGCGGACCAACCAACAGAAAAAAGTAGAAAAACACATAGCAATTTTGTGAACCTGTATGAATCTGTAAACATCTTAATGTTCATGTGAGAAGTCAGAAACTCTGTGTTTTTCATGGGCCAATTTTAGCGCGGGACGTCTAGATTGTACAAAGAAAGGGGTGCTGCCTGCATTGCCTTACCTTTGCAGCTCTGTTTCTCTCGCAGCTCTCCACGGTTTCTCTCGTTCGGTGCCACGCACTCCGTTTCCGCGCTCCGGTCGACGGTCGTTCGGGCGGTCCTCGTCGGACATGGCAGGTTCCTCGTGGCCAACAGCGCCGATGTGTGCAGCCTCAGTGACAGACGTCGTGCCTTCGCTAGCGGCGTGCGGAAGGCACATGGTGTGCTTTCTACGATGTTCCATCTATATATATATATATATACAAATTATAAAACTATATATTGATCTATTTGTGCATCTATTGTTCATCTGTTGGTTTTGGAAAATCATACAAACATAGTCAACATACTTCTAATAATATGGTTCCCTTCCAGCGGTGATAGCATGAACTGAAAGACTGTGAAGATTACTGGGCCAGTTTTTGTATGGAACTTGGACCGTCTTTTGCATGCTTGAAAAGGATGCAATCCTTTGGGTGTTTAGTCGTTTTTCCTTTTGAATGTGTTATCTACGACCAGTATAGGTAAACTACAAGAGTCCGGGAGAAGCCTCAAGTTTTCCTAAGGGTCACGAGGCCATTTGCCGACGCAAGCAGCCCGGGTATCGGCTCTCGGCGCCAGTCTCGCTTGACATGAGGTCATCAAGACCACTTGCGCGGAGTTTGAAGACTCATTGCGATGCTTGGATATGCTTGGAAGGGATGTGGACGGGATTGAAAAGGGTTTTTCGAAGACGACGATCTACCTCCTGAGCACATGGAACGGCACCTCCTTCGACTCGCAGCCCAGGAAGGGTTATGGTGGATCAGCCAGCTCCTGGCGAGACGATGGAAGTTCCAGACAAAGAGCCCGATGGAGAGGACTGAATGGTGGCAGCATTGGGTTTCCATTGAAAAGCATGACATTCGCAGCTTGCGGGTTGTGTTCGAATTGGGCATTCTTCTGTCTCGAGTCACTTTTGCTGGTCAACTGGCGCAAAGACAGGGAACTTTGGTGGATGGATGACCCACCGTGACTCACCCGGCCGCCGGTGCGCTGTGCAAACCCTGGGTGGTACATCAGGTTCATGGGGGCTTGGCATCAGAGGTGGAAAAGAGGCTGCTGGAAGAGCAATTTGCTTTGCAAACAGGGGTTTCCACTTGCCCCAGAATCCAGGCACCAAATCCCAACACGTCCCAGTGTTCGAGCAAAATTCCATGGCATTCACGAGCGTTACTTGGAAGAAGGCTTGCAATTTTGCGGAGTAGCGGTTTTTGAAGACCATCTTCGCAGGAGGAGAACCGGGGAGATGCCACTTGTCTTGCATTGGGAACAAAATCCTTTCCCGTTCCCCAACAAGCTGCTCGAGGGAAGTACGGTGCCACAATCGGTTGATTCATTTGCTTTAGTATTGAAGGACTTCCCGTGCTCTTTCTAAACGTTCTGGGCTATGAAAAGAAATCGGTCCGTTTTATGGTTGGGTTGGTTTTCAGCTGGTTGGTTTTCGTCCAAACAACGGATGGAACATGGACTCCCACTGCGACTCCAAGGCCGCCACCGTTTGGGTGCAATGGCTCCGGCGGAACGGTGCCTCGGCACAGTGAGTCACACAAAGGAGTCATCTCTCAAGTCAGCTTGGCCGGCACAACGGTGGCACAACGGTGGCACAACATGTATAGTGACATGTAGTGAACACACTTGATCAATTGGAAAATTGAATAAGATTGATGTGATTATACCACGTGGTAGTCATCTTGATATCAGTGATCTCTTCACTTGATCAATTGCGGTGATCTCTTCATGTGGACGGTCCGAAACGGCCTTCCCTCGACTCGAGAGTCGACAGACCTGCGGACGGCCCGTTGACCCTGACCGACTTGGTTCGACTCAACTGACCTTCGTGGGCGGGGGGCATGTGAAAGGACAATAAAGGACACATATGGTTTGACATATGGTTTGTTACGGGCTCAGCCTGCTCAGCTTTATGCATGTTTATGCCTAGGGTTTCGTCCCAGTACCTGCAACAGTCGGACGATGAGCACTGAAGTCACTATAGTCAGACTTTTTGGAATTGGTATAGCCCTTGTCAGCCATCATCCACGGATACTGGTATATAGCGGGATCTACCCAACAGGCTGCCATCTTATGCCTGTCCAAACGATGCACCACGAGGACTACACCAAATCATCCGCTACGATGGCGAAAACCTTCGCCTGGATGGGGTGGCACATCGTCCCGCACTCTCAAAGGTGCAACTGGCCTGGCCACACTTGTCACATTTAGAGAGAGAGAGAGAGGGGGGTGGGGTAGAGGGGGAGATTGAAATGTTCAACATGTTCCAAGTCCATGTCCAATCCAACAGTGGCAGGTGGTGCCCAGTTGAAAGCACTTCTCATTTTGATCCCAAGTTTTTGCGCTGGCTCCTTCCGATGACAGCGACGGAGGCAGAGTTCTTCCGCGCCCGCGCCCAGAAAGGGAGCGAGGCATGGGTGATTCGCGGGCCGGAAGACGGTTGATGAATAGGCAAACGGATGGGACAGTGAAGTGATGGTGCGAGTTGAAACGAGTGAATCAGGCCAAATCTTAGAGCTTGGATGAGCTTGGAGACTTCTTGATTCTTTACAGGGAATGATTCGCATCAGGATGACTGTAGACTGTAGGTCGACGGTTGCTGGAAGGTTGCAATGAGTTTATGACAAGAGGCCGTCGGGTTTGAGCTGGTGTTAGTCGCTGGGACCGAGAACAGGGCAAAGGTGATATTCTAAAGAAGCGTTTTTGATACCAAGAATATAATGGAATATATATATATATACAATTATATACACATAATATATATAGATAGATAGACAGATAGATAGATCATGAAGATGTGATGCGAAGCCTGTGGCAGGTGTCGGTTGAATCTTGGCGGCAGGGCTGTGCAAATCTCTTTACAGGGCGAGCGAAACGAGCGAGTTACGCTTGTTTCAGAAGACTTAGCAGGCATATGCAGGCATGCTGATGATTTACCCACTGATTTGCATGTATATATCTTGACCACTCTTGACCTCTACACCCCAAAACTCCTGATTTCGCAGTGCAGAATGGAACTTCCAGGGGTCCATGTTCAAGTCATTTTTCGGGGTGGTACTACTTGCTGAGCTTTTGGATGCTTAGGATGGCTGTACTTATATTTTATACATCATACCTTATTATATAATATATAGTTTAGTTATATGTGTTTGTTTATTTTGGTTCAGGATGGTTCAACGGGGACTTGTAAACTCTCGAAGATCTTCCGCGCCTGGGAACAGGGTTGGACTCAGGGGTGGAGCGCCGCAAAACCTCTCAGGATCTCGCCTTGCCTGAGCTCTCAGACGAAGATGGCCCAGGATCCCTGCTGGCCTGGTTCTGATTTTTCACGAGGCCATGCGCAGAGGCGATGGGCCATGCGTGGCACCGCCGCACCGCCAAGTCGGCAACATCGGTGGCGATGGGAGTGTCAGAATCGACCTGCGAATAGCCACGAGAGGTCCTGGAGGTCCTTCGGACTTTCATTGTTTTGCTTCCTCCACGAGCGTTTTGAATGACGCTATGGCCACCATGATGCCGTGACTGATGGCAAAGATAGTGAGCAAACAAAAACTGAGGGAAAAAGGCCAACCAGGTCCACCACTTCATCAAATGGTTCCTAGCAGCCTATTCCAGGGATCTCATATCCCAATAAGTTTAAAAGCTTGAAATGTGGAACTTGTCAGCTGAGCTCAGTATCTTTCCAGATATTTCTGGATAGTTTTATTGGAAGGTGGCGGGATTGGGCGATAGGCGATATTTGTTGACGTAATTCCACGGCATTTGGAAGTGGTACGTATCGGCTATGTTTCAAGCCAGCCATTGACTTGGCCCAATCTCGTCATGAAAACGTCGGTGATGGTAGGTGACATCGGTGACAACCATCTCTGTGAGGTCGAAGATGAGCAGTTGCATCTCATGTGCTCTTCGCTGGAGAAGAGCGTTCAACCAACCTGTTCATTTAGCACTTGCCGAAGACACCACTGGTTTTTGGATGTGTTTGGTCCAAAGTGCTCCAGATTTCCTGTCAGCTCCCTGCTCAGATTTCGGCGAAACCACGTCGACATATAGGACTCATAGGACCTGCTGCGTCTGTCCGATTTTCCGGGCCTGGATCCATGGCTAGTCCCATCCGCGGGGTGATCCGAGTGCTTCTCCAAAAAGGCAGACCGGCCGCCAGCGGTCGGCATGCAGGTCGCTTGGGGCAGCAGTTCGGCAGATAGGGATAGATGATTTGCCGTGACCAACGAATGTCCATGGAATAATGACGTGATAGTTGAAGTTGATTTTGCGCCATCCCAGGAGCTTGGCTCAAACTGATTGACGCAACATTACAAGCGAGATGTCCATAGACCATCCCGGACTCGAACCTGAAAAGAATCTAACAGCCGCCTCCCCCTGTAGGCCTAGCCCTAGCACTCACTACTGACTAGGGGTAGTTGCACATGGAGGCCCAGTGGTTTTCCTTAAGGCCTTAAGGTGCCCTGGCACCTTGAAGCTTCTTCAAAGTCCAATCCCACATGTAGCAATGTAGCAGTCCTCCAGTGCACTCCTCCAGACCTGCCACTTGGAGAAACCAAAGCCATCGGAAGACTCGCAAGAAGACACTCAGGAGACAAAGACCTGCAAGACATAAACCGGTGAACCAGATGCTTTTCTTAGGCCGCACGTTTTTCATGCCCCATGAGTGTCGACATACATGTCGCCGGCGTGGCAGGGCAGTTGTGCCATTTGCACGTGAGCTCACTCACCCGAGTGTCGGAGGTGAAGAAGGAGAGGTGGCACTGGAGAGGGGATTCTTCCCCTTCTGCCACGCAGATTGTGAAATGCCCGAGCAGAAAAACTAGAACATACATTGAGATGTTCTCCCCCCAGTAACAGTTCAAAAAAGGGTTTGCTACATATCAGCTAACCAAAATGAGCACCAGGAAAATGCCACCAAATCACTTATGGGTTTTCCATCAGGTGTCATACAAAAGTTCTATTTGACCTAGTTTTCCATCGGGTGGCATATTGTTTTGAATTTCGTTGCCAGCCCTTCCATTTCTTTTTCAAAGGCTTTTCAAACAGTGGTTGTGCGGCAGACAAAAAATTTTCAAGCCCATAGTTGCAGTGGCAGAGCAAAAATGCCATAGAAACCCCAAACTTGGACACTGCCCCCCCACTAACAGCCAAAAAACAGACTTAAACTTAAACACCCACAAAAAGAAAAGCACAACCAAAAGCAGAGCAGAAGCCAGGGTCCAAACCCAAGGCAAATTCACAGGTGCATTCCCAGCCACATGAGCAAGGCCATTCCAAAACAAGGGGTGCTACAAGGTTAAAAAAAACTACTGAAAACATGTGGCTGAGTAAAACTCAGAACAGAAGCGCAGCCGCAGCTTCAGTGCGAAAGGAGAACCACATCACCGCCAGCAGCAGGCCCTTCTGCAGCGGTGGGAGGCTTTCGCTTTGCAGCCAGATGTGAATCTGCAGGGCTTCCTTTTGCTGCAGACAGGTTTTTGCTCTGCAGCCAGATGTGAAGCTGCAGGTTTTCCTGTTGCTGCAGACAGTTTTTTGCTTCACAGCCAGGAGTGGAACTGCAGTTTTGCTGTTCGACTGGAGGGAGGCTGCCACTGGCCAAAAACTGCAGCTGCAGTTGTGGACTTTTTGCTCCGGATGTTTGCCACAAGTTTTTCAAACTCCCAGGGCAACATAGCACAAAAAAAACCACAACTCCGAGGACAACATATCAGAAAAAACGCACAAGAAAGCCCACAACTCCGAGGACAGCATATCACAAAAAAAAGCACAACCAAAAGCACAAAAAAACACACAACTCCGAGAACAACATATCACAAAAAAAAAAGCACAAGAAAACCCACAACTCCGAGGACAACATATCACAAAAAAAAGCACAACCAAAAGCACAAAAAAAAAACACAACTCCGAGGACAACATATCACTAAAAAAGCACAAGAAAACCCACAACTCCGAGGACAACATATCACAAAAAAAGCACAACCAAAAGCACAAAAAAAACACAACTCCGAGGACAACATAGCACAAAAAA